CCTTAAGGAAATGGAGAACTTTCTGACATCACACAACCTACCTAGGTTGGAACAAGAAGAAATTGAGACCCAAAATAGACCAACAATCAAGGAAATTGACTACATAATAAGAAAACTTCCTACAAAAAAAGCCCTGGTCCAGATGGCTTTCCAGCAGTATTCTACAAGACATTCAAGGAGGAGCTGATACCAATTCTACTGAAGGTATTCCAGGCGATTGAAAAAGATGGAACTCTCCGCAAATCATTTTACAAAGCCAACATCACATTGATACCCAAGCCAGGTAAAGATCCAACAAAGAAAGAGAACTACAGGCCAATATCTTTGATGAACATAGATGCTAAAATTCTCAACAAGATCCTAGCAAACCGGATTCAGCAATACATCTCAAAAATCATCCACCATGACCAAGTAGGCTTCATTCCTGGGATGCAAGGCTGGTTCAACATTCGTAAAACCATAAATGTAATTGAATACATCAACGGATGTCAAAACAAAAACCACATGATCATATCACTGGATGCAGAAAAAGCTTTTGATAAAATCCAGCACCCATTCTTGATAAAAACCCTTGAACATCTAGGCATACGGGGAACATACCTCAAAATAGTAAAAGCCATCTATGAGAAACCCACAGCCAGCATACTCCTAAATGGACAAAAATTGGAACCAATTCCCCTGAAAACTGGAACTAGACAAGGATGCCCACTCTCTCCCCTCCTGTTCAACATAGTATTGGAAGTCCTGGCTAAAGCAATCAGAGAAGAGGAGGCAATCAGAGGTATTCAAATAGGAAAAGAGGAAGTCAAGTTATCTCTCTATGCAGATGATATGATGGTGTACCTTGAAAACCCAAGAGAATCTGTCAAAGGCCTCCTTACATTGATAAAAGCCTTTGGCAAAGTCTCAGGATACAAAATAAATGTACAAAAGACGATCACATTTCTCTACACCAAAAATAAACAAACAGAAACCCAAATAAAAAACACAGTTCCATTCACAATAGCCACAAAAAAAATGAAATACCTTGGCATCTTCCTAACCAGAGATGTGAAAGACCTTTACAAGGAAAATTACAAAACACTGTTCAACGAAATCAAAGCTGACACGAACAAGTGGAAAAATATCCCATGCTCATGGATCGGAAGAATCAACATTGTGAAGATGTCCATCTTACCTAAGTCAATCTACAAATTCAATGCAATACCCATTAAATTACCAACAACATTCTTCTCAGACCTAGAAAAAACAACACAGGAATTCATATGGAAACACAAACGTCCAAGAATAGCCAGAACAATCCTCAGCAAAAAAAAAAACAAAGCAGATGGTATCACATTAGCAGACTTCAAACTTTACTATAAAGCTACAATCTTCAAAACAGCTTGGTATTGGTACAGGAACAGGCATATAGATCAATGGAACAGAATTGAGATTCCAGAAGCAAAACCTCAATTTCTCAACCAACTCATATTCAACAAAGCCCCCACCAGCTACCAATGGGGAGAGGAGAATCTATTCAGTAAATGGTGCTGGGAAAATTGGCTGACCACATGCAGAAGATTGAAACAGGACCCCTATCTATCCCCATGCACAAAGGTTAACTCCAAATGGATCAGAGACCTAAATGTAAAACCTCAAACCATAAGAACCTTAGAAAAGGAAGGAAATACTCTCATGGAAATCGGAACTGGCATCCAATTCCTGTACAAAACCCGAAACCCACAGGACTTAAGAGAGAAGATAGACAAATGGGACCTTATTAAATTGACAAGCTTCTGCAAAGCCAAAGAAACCATCAAGAGAGCAGGGAGACAGCCTACAGACTGGGAAAAAGTATTTGCCAACTCTAGGTCCGTCAAAGGCTTAACATCCTGGATCTACAAGGAACTGAAATGTACTGAAAAGAAGAAAACAAACAACCCCATTATAAAATGGGCAAAAGATATGAACAGACACTTCACAAAAGAAGACATCCGAGCAGCCAACAAACACATGAAGAAATGTTCAACCTCACTAATCATCAGGGAGATGTAAATCAAAACCACACTGAGATACCACCTAACTCCAGTCAGAATGGCAATTATCAACAACTCAAAAAATAACAGCTGCTGGAGAGGGTGTGGTGAAAAGGGAACACTTCTACACTGTTGGTGGGAGTGTAAACTAGTGCAACCTCTGTGGAAAGCAGTGTGGTGATTCCTAAAAGCTCTAAAAAATTGACCTTCCATATGACCCTGCAATCCCCCCACTGGGGAATATACCCTGAAGAACACAAATCACTCTATAAAAAAGATACTGCTCACGTATGTTTATTCGCAGCATTGTTCACAATAGCAAGAACCTGGAAACAGACCATGCTGCCCATCAAAAGAGGACTGGATTAAAAAAATGTGGTACATATACACAATGGAATACTACGCAGCCATAAAAAAGAACAAAATCATGAATTTTGCAGCAACCTGGATGGAACTAGAGTCTATAATACTGAGTGACCTCTCACAGAAACAAAGATCCGAGTATCACATGTTCTCACTCATATAATGGACCTTGAACATCCAATGCAATACTATAGGAAAATGACTGACGGTACTGGGAAACTATGGGGGGAGAGGGGGATGGGATTAACAGTAGCAAATATCTGTCTGGGGATGGGAAAACACCTCTTATCAACAGGGTGCCTGAATGAAACATAATTGTACACCTAACCCTTAACTGTACCCCACAAAACCATAATAAAAAATACTGATTAATTAAAAAAACAATTTTTTTAAAATATATTTTTTAAAAAGGTACTTGATCACATATCAGCTCTACCAAAAGTTGTCAAAATGATTTCCATTTTATGAATATTTCTTTCCCACCAGCAGTGCATGATAATACTTTTTCCTCCACATCCTCTTTTATTTGTCATCATCATTGTTGTCTATTTTACCCATTCTGATTGGTTATCAGTTGCATTTCATTGTTAAAAAACACAATTTTCCTCACGAAAATTTATAGAAAACAATTTTCAAATAGTATTTGATGAAATGTCTAACCTAAAATGGAAGGTATTTTATTTAAACTATGTTTCAGAAAAAAAATATATCTCACATTAAATAAAAATTAGCTAATATAATAAATGATTCAGGAAAGAAGTGTGAAAACTTTGAACCTCATTAAAATTATGAACAAACATTGTTAAGACTAAAGAGACTGTAAAGAAGATGACAAGACAATATATAAACTGAGATAAATACTTTCTTGTTTTTGTGTCTTTATTTTGACTTCCTTAATAACATCTGAGACTTCCTTAATAACATCTGAGAGTAATGGAATTCTTTTGGGCTTATTCTGTTTTTATTACACAAGAACTCTACAAATGGGATGATAATGCATAGCTTAAGGGACATTGTCTATAATCGGGGTTCAGTAGTAAGAGGGATTCACATGGGCTTACATAATGTCCTTAGACTGACTTAGATTACAAGGTTCTGAAATTGTGATGTGGGTTTCTGGAGATATGTCATACTTCACTCACATCACTGTTTTGAGTGGACTCCCACATCTCCACAAAGGATGTGGATCAACAGACTGCCTAATGTACTTAAGTTTAAACAAAAGGTTCAGAGACCACATGTTTATTAATAAACTCACCTGGTTCTGAATATTTGGTCTGCTTCTTCCTCTCTTTCCAACATAAAGTCACCCCACTTGTTCAGGTACTAACAGGAGGGCTCAGTTTTGTTCTGTTCCTCTAACTTACCAAATATCTGGTGACTCACCTATTATCTATATTCATGGAAGTGTATTATTTATTATTCAATTTACTAACAAAATTCAGTGCCCAGATTGCAATACTCTACATTGGAGAGTTTGTTCATGCCATCAATGGAGGACAAGGCCTTGCATGGAAAGACAAATCTAAATTGGTCAATGAAAGCCTAAGACTACAGTGCTTAAATTCATTACCCTGCTTTGTATCACTGGTGTTACCAGTCAGGACAGGACCTGAGTTCCTTGTGCACACAGATAGGAGGGCTCACAGAAGTTATATACATTTCCCAATGTAGGTAATAGCACTAACTTCAGAGAAAAGAATATCCACCATTGCTGATCTCCTATTAGAGGACTTAAGTATAAATCTGTTATACGGTCATCAAAGTAAATAGACAACCTGCCAAACAAGAAAAAATTGCAAACTGTTGCTCTGAATAAAACTAATAACAGAATATGTAAAAAAATTCAACAGGAAAAAAGTACCACATTAAAAATTAGACACAGGAAATGAACAGACACTTCTGAAATGAAGACATACAAGTATTCCAAATGCATGTGAAAATATCACGAATCATTAATCAACATCACTAATCACCAATATCACTAATCATCAGCTAAATGGAAATTAAATTCACAATGAGGTACTATATCACACAAATTAGAATGACTATCATTAGAAAAAGTTTTTAAAAACACAGATGCTTGCAAAGCTGTCAAGAAAATGGAGCTCTTAAACAGTGTGGGCAAAAATATACAGAAGATTAGCTCCTATGTGAAGTAGTTTGGAGATTTCTCAAATAACTAAAAATAGAACCAACAATCAAGCCAGCAGTCTCATTACTGAGTATTTACCAAAATAAAAAGGAATAATTCTATCAAAATGATACTTGCATTTGTATGTTTTTCACAGCACAATAAACTATAGCAAAGTGATAGAATCAACCCAAGTTCCCATCAATGGTGGGTTGAATAATGAAAATG